AACCCCAAACGTGACACGGACGCAAAACAAGAGACTTAAAACTCACCACCAACGTCAAGAAAAATAGGGATGGGAGCATGAGTAAGACGATGTTCCAAACTCCAAAAAGTTTCGTTCCCAACTTTTGTCCCACATAAATTTCTACAAAGAAAGGGTGTCATTAGGTTTTCAAGTAAGACAGTAACCATTGGCTCAAGGCCGTAGATAGGATGGTTCACTTCATACGGTTCCAACCGTTAAGAGGCACACGCGTTACTCGGTCATGATGCATTAGCGTGCAGCCAAACATTCAATAAACATCACCATAGAATTCGAAATTTATCGATGTCATTGAAAAGTGTAAGAACAATGATGAAGTGAGACAATACTTTAGTTGTCAGAAACTTCATTCACCTTCAACATGTCAAACAAAATTGACTTGTTTCTTAGCCAAAAAGGAAATAGGGCTATGCTCAAAGAATTGTTAAGAACTGTTGATAAAAATTGACAAGACCAATGATATTTCGTATTTCACAACACCTTGTGAGGATTTTCAATTTTCAACAGTCGCAACCTTTTTGGAAATTGATAAGAATAGATTCTACTACAATATAGTCTCCCAAGAAAAGTATCTAATGTAAACAAAACCAACGTTTGAAGAATTTGGTGTAAAGCTGACTGTCGATGTTTAGTGAACTTGACCTCGTTGTTGGAATAGACAAGAAGATTATCGATAAGAAAATCACAGAACCGTCGGAATATGGGTGGAATAACTGGTCAGTTAGGTTCATGAACGTTGCTGGAGCATTCGTCCACTTGTTTGGAAATGCAATCACCGAGAAATCTTCGAGGGTCCACACGAATTTCCTCAGCAGAAACAACAAGGTCGAGGACATTGATTCGGTCCAACCAAACTAACACTTGCTAAACTTCGCATACAACTAGTGCTTACTCACTTTCTCCACACGAACTTCAGATGTTTCAAGCAATCTCCATATAGATACAACTCTGCCCACTATTCCTAGGGAACACAAGTTGCAGAGTATCATCATTGTTTTAGATCTTCAGCTGGTCTTAATCAGACTTCCTCTCATAGAGATTTTTTTATCTCTCGCAGAGTATCGATTTGTTGTTGAAAGTCGTCCATTATTCCATTTCGTCACCGATGAGGCACAATCCCAACATGAATTTTATACTTCAGATAAGGATGTGGCAATTCAGACAGAAAGAAGATTACACAACTGCGTCGAAAAAGCACCAATAAACGGAAGCCGTGACATCCAAATGATATCAAGGTCGACAAACTACTAGAGTAAGAAACGATCCTAAGTATGCTTTGAACAAACCATGCTCTGATACCAAATTGACACGCTACAACCCGATATTCTCCAAACACCAGGGTAGGCACGTGCTGGCTGACACTCGAGGGTGACGAAGCCATATTAACATGCATGAGAGTTATGAAGAAAGAACGAACACAAAATAAAACACGTAAATTTAACTATAATGAATATGAAAATGTAAGAACGTTTTCAGAGCATACAACTAATCAAGAATACTGTAGAAGAAATACTATGAAAAGGTATGAACAAAGGAATGGGTCTTACACCAAGAAGACTCGAAGATGCCGATGCAGGAGTGCCCTGACGCCGGGATTGTACGACTCGATTCTAAGTTCTGAAGGAGGTGCAAAACAAAGCATGAGTGGACCAAGTTTATATATAAGCAATACTAAAACCATTACTCTTGAAATGCCTAACCCCCAGTTTTAGAAAAACTCATATAGCTAATAAGTAATAGGTTTTCCATAGCATGCCATAAAAACTTCGTAAAACATATGTCGTATATAATGTGCTTAGTAGTGGTATCACAATCACCTGAAGGCACTATATCGCCCGCCTGAAGGCATATATATTTTTTGCCCGAAGCATTACATCGCCCACCCAAAGGCATATATATCTTTCACCCGAAAGCACTACATTGTCCGCCTGAAGGCATATATATCTTATGCCCAAATGCACTACATCGCCTGTTTGAAGGCACACATATCATTAAATATCCACAAAGTAAACACAAAAAATCATGAACATAATCTTTCCAAAATATATACCATCAGAGCTTAATAGCTCAAACATCATATCATAAATCATATTCATAAATATCTCAGTAACGTAAATTCAATAAAGCATGATATTTCATAAAGTGTAAATCCGATAACTCAATAAACATTATATTATAAAAATCATGCTTTTCATGTATACATTTTTAGTAATAAAAACATGCATTTTGGAAGGGGTCTACTCACAGTACTCCGTCACCGAAGAACTGTTCAAACTAGGGAGGATGGAATCACCACTAACAAATGCACCTAAGCACATAAAAGGACCAATTAGTAAAACCCCATTAAGACGATTAAATTTGGGAAAACGGAGCGTGAATTTAGAATCAGGGCGTCGAATTATCCTAAGTAGGGTCCTGAGAAAATTTCGTAAAAGTCAATGCAAAGTCAATGTAAGGAATATCCCCTAACAAAATATTCCAAGAATATTCCCTGATGGAATATTCCCCAAAGAATATTCCCTAACGGAATATTCCCCAAAGAATATCCGGCATTGACCCGGTTCGCCGAAAACCCATCAGGAACTGGGTTTTGGCCGAATTTTTGGGTATTATTCAAAGCTCCATAACTTCTTCAATACTCAACGAAATTGAGTGATTCCAAAATGAAAGTCACACCTTGGAACGAGACAAACAAATTAGTACCCTTCTCGATGGCTAACTCATTGTGGTTTGACCGAAAAATAGCATGAAAGCTGCGGAGGTTGCCTGAAACTGGGTAAACTTTAAAAGGTTATAACTTCCTCATTTCTCAGCCAAATCGAACCCATAATATGTCAAAATGGCTTAAGATGAGAGAAATAAGATAATACCTATTTGGAAGCCAAAAAGTGGCCGGAGATGGCCGAAAAATGCCTGCAAACTCACGGGTGTAGCTGAAAAATTGGGGAAGAGTCCCCTCGCCCTTTTTGGGTTCATGGGGTTCACATAGAGGGTGAGGGGTGGTGGTGTGAAGCTGCTGGTGTTGTTGTTATGTTTGTGTGCTTTCCTAGAGAGGGGAGGTTAGAAAGGGATAAGAGAAATGAGAAAATAGAGAGTTTTAGAGAGAGTGAAGGGAGGGAAAGAGAATGACAGGGAGAGAGGGTCGACAAACAAGGGAACATGTGGGCCCCTAGTGGATCACAAAACAAGGTCCACTAAAGACAAAAATAAAAGATATCTCCCAAACGTGAAATTACAAATTGCCCTCGAAGTTCCATGTTTCGTAAAATCTAGGACGGGTTGTTACATAATCACTCTAATTTAGCCTATATCATGTAAACAACCTAAGTGATCAATCATCTAATGATTCCATGAGTTGTGTGATTTAGAACTTTCTTTTAATGCTCTAGCAAGAGGCTACTGAATCATGTAGAATAAGCTTTTGACAATGTTGTAGAATAAGCGCTAGTTGGGTAGCGAGCTGGGGTGTAGTGCCTAGGCGGCTAAGCGGGGTCTAGACGAGGGCCCAGGCAGACTAGGTGGATTTAAGTAAATTTATTGTATGTTGTATAAATAAGTGACTATTTATACTTTAAAAACATACATAATTATATTGAGATACCTAAATTGCAAAATAAAATGACGTATAAATTATAAAATATTAGACCATATTGAAAACATGGGGAATAAGCGTATAATGAGTGTTCTTCCAAGTATTCAACAAGTCTCTTACATTTTATTGAAAAATTAAAATGCAAAATGAAAGTGATCTATTTTATGTCTAAGTTTATTGAAAACATGGGGAATAAGACGTTAGGCGCTAGTCGGACGGCGAGCTGGGGTTTAGCACCTAGGCGACTAAGTGGGGGCCGTCTAGGCGAACTAGGCAGATTTAAGTAAATCTATTATATTTCGTATAAATAAGTGTCTGTTTATACTTAAAATATATATAATTACATCATAAATTATAAAATAGAATGTCATATATATTATGAAGTATTGAAACATAATGAAAACATGGGGAACAAACATATAATGTGTGTGTGTGTTCATTTAAGTATTCAACAACTCTCTTACAATTTATTAAAAAAAAATAATGCAAAATGAAAGTTATCTATTTTCTGTCTAAGTGAGTTGCAACCTAGGCGAGTCTGGGCGGGCTAAGTGGGTGCCTAGGTGGTCTAGGCAGGTACCTCAATAGGTCTAGACGCCCTTTTTAAATTTTCAAATGCCTAAGCATTAATCGGAGCGGTGACCAACCGCATAGCGCCTAGGCTCCTAAGCGGTGCTAGGCGGGAATTTTTAAAACAATGTTAGAGTGTTTATACAATATTTAGAGTGAACTTTGACTTTAAATTTAATTATATAACTTTTAATTATTAGATTGAAGATAACCAAAGAAATTCAAAACCAATTAGTACTTGACATATTGTAATATTCTTATCCACTTCTTGGGTTAATATATCAAAACAAAATTTAAAATTAATTAGTACTATGACATTGACATGGTAATACAGGAAGAAATTTGTAACGTCTGTATCACCTATCTTATTTTCGATCATTTCGTTTCACTTTTGCGAAATTTTTTTTAGTGTGTCTAGAATATAAAGTAGTGTATTATATGTAAATTTTATTTTTTATTTTTCAAGTATTCGTTTACTTACAAAATAATATATGATTACACAGGGAGCTTAAGGGGAGGGATTCCCATTTTTTCAAAAAAAATGGGGACACGCTCCCCACCGTTAGATTGACTTTAATGAAATTGTGTGGTTGAGATTAAAACACAGGCTATAGAATCTCAACCACAGGATTTTATTTAATTCAAATCCAACGATGGGGAGCGTGTTCCTATTTTTTAAAAAAAATGGGATCCCTCCCCTTAAGCAATTCCTATGATTACATGTGGCGTACCAGCTTTATTACGAACAAACTAAAAATCTCTCCACCTTTTGCATCAGTGTTGTAAACACACGCCAGTCGCTTTCTCTCTCTCTCTCCCTCTGTATCTCCTCACAAAGTCATCGCCACGACAACTAACACCAACGAACAACACCACAAACAAATAAATAGAAACGCCGAGAAATACCAAAAATAAATAAAAAAGGAGAAACGTTTCTTTTCTGAAAAAACCGCGATGAGCGATCAGCATCTACGGCTGAACCACCTCCGCAGCACCTCCCAGCTCCTCCGACAAGCCACGACGTCGTTCGCTGCCAACCTCTTCACCTTCGTCTTCCTCTCCCTCCTCATCTTCTCCTTCCGCACGGTCGTCGAAAATGGGACCCACCTCCTCACCTCCTTCGTCGACCGCGACCCTTCTCTCAAATCCCTCCTCTCCCGCCTCGACCTCGCTGGCGCCGGCAATACCAACCACCGCTCTCCCAGATCTCCAGCCGAGTCCCCTTCTCCAATCACTCTCCGCCGCCGACACCGCCCAGTGCTTCACCTCACCCGCGTCGGAACCTTAGACGATGATTTCTTCTCCGGCGATGATGACGACGCTCGCTCCCTCTTCGGCCCCAATCGGATCGCCCCAATCCTCATTTTCTCCTCCTCCTCTCACTCCACCTCCAAATTAGGGTTTAATGGAACTTACGGGACTAGGGTTTCTGAAATTGTGCGCTCCAGCCTCACGTTCAAGGCCGAGAAATTCACCATTTCCAATGACAGATCTAGAGGTAGGGATGGCGACGGAGAAAGCAATGAAGGGGAGGAGAAAGGCGGCGACGAAGAAATGGACGATCGGGCGGTCGATTTGCAATTCTTGATCAACGGATTGGAACTGGGTCGCCGGGACGTGGCGACGTTGTTCTTCCTTGTGAGTTTCTTATCTGCAGCTTACGGTTGGGTAATTCTAGGGTTTCTTGTAACGTATTCATGGGTTCTTGGCATTGTTTTTACAACAGTTGTGAATGATCTGATCGGGCGGTTTACTTCGTTTTTTGGTCTGGTTTGGGATGGGTCCAGATTGGGAATCAAGAGGCTCTCTGGGTTCATTCTCATGAGGTGGGCGGTGAGAGATGCTCTCACTCAGCTTCTGGGATTGTGGTATTTCGGCGAAATTGAGGACCAGTACTCTTTTTTCAAGCTGTTTATTAGGTTAAAGTTGATGCCTTTTTCGGTTATGCCTCCCTGGATTCGAGGTTATGAGAAGGAGCTTACTGGGTTTTTGTTTGTGTGGTACTTGTTGGACACATTGGTGGCATTCGTATTTGCTGTCGATGCTTGGGTAGCTATAGTGGATTCGAGGAAGAGTGGGAGAGAAATTGTCAAGGAGGGCTGTTATTTAATGTTGTCAATGTTGAGCCAAGCTATCCAAATCAAGTGTTTGGAATCGGTACTTTGTGGGGGATCTGTAAGATGGGTTTTAACTCGAATTTGTGGAAGATCGTTTGCCAAGCTCTTTCAGTCGACTGTTGAAGTTTATTTTATGGTATCCTGGCTCATATTTTACTTTGCAGCTAGGGCGAGGTGTCGAGATGCTAGTTCTCAGGGGGAGAGGATTGGAGCACTAGATTGAGTGAGGGCCTTCGGTGATAATTGGCAGTAATTAGCTGGCAGTTTCTCTTGCAGGCTTCAATAGTAACACTACATTACTGGTAATCTTTCAGTGCTCTGTGTTCCTGCTTTGGATTCCCTTATTCCGCATTGCCATTGTTTGGTGTAGTTTGCTAGACAGATGTTGTATGTACTTTACCTTGAGCCAGTATACTACTTGTGTATTACCTTGCACAAGAATCCTTCATGTGTAAATGACGTTGCAATCATTGTTTTAATTCTCTGCAGTGTATGTTACATTTTATGATGATAATGAAAGAAATCAGAGTTGTCATTGTGATAGTGACTTAGATTGTTGTAGTATTGATCTTTATGTTATTTCAATTATGGAAGAATTTCTTTTTAATTATACCATTTTTTCATGTTTGTTATACACATTGCACAGAATTTCTGAATGTGCCTTAATTTACTGTTATGGATCACCATATATGGATGTATTAGTGTTTGTCTTATGATAAAACAAATGTGATGAGAAAACTAGATGACCCTTGGGAGTGTATATATTTGCATATTCTTGAGGTATGCTGTGCAGGTAGACGAGTGTAGGGTTATTTTGCTACAACAATCATATGAAATGCGTATAAGTATCAAGGACCGTTTTCAGTGGTGGACTCCGAATACTATGTACTTTTAATATGGTCTTTGCCGATTTAATAGGTTTTTTGTTGGACATGCCAATCATTGATTTAATGTATTTTTACTTTAAGAAGTATTTAAATAGTGAATTTTTTTATAACCTGCATGGATTCATTTCTGGTCTTCTTTAAGGATGAAGAATTTATGTTCAAATAAACGTGACTGGCACCAATTGGAGATCACCGTGTATATGTAGATACTTGAGTTCCCCTGCTTTCTTTGTGGACTTTCTTAGGGTTGATGGATGCTCTGAAAAATGATTTAAGCTTTGGGTGTAGAATCATTCATAATATTGCCACATATATATATATATATATATATATATATATACAGAGAGCTTAAGGGGAAGGATCCTCATTTTTTGAAAAAAATGGGGATTAGGTGTGGGGCCCACTTCACATCTAATTTCAACGATCCGAACGTTTATTTTGTTAGTCTCGATTCATAGATCATCCTTGCAAAATATTAGCTAAATTGGAAATGTTTAAGACATCTAATTGGGTTCAAGGAAATGAACGAATACTTTGTTATATAAGAAAATATGAAATATGATATTGATAATTAAATAGGCAAATGGTTTCGGATTGAATTGAATTTTTGCAAGGATGATCTATGAATCGAGACTAACAAAATAGACGGTTCGGATCGTTGAAATTTGATGTGAAGTGGGCCCCACACCTAATCCCTATTTTTTTCAAAAAATGAGGATCGCTTCCCTTAAGCTCTCTGTGTATATATATATACACACACACATATATTCATTATTTACAAGGACTGTTGTTTACATAGGATTAGGACCCCTGACTTTGGTGTTGGATCCTTTAGATCACTGTCAAACTTATTTCTCCTATATTGAATATGTTTGTTTGTTATTCGTCTCATTTGTTATTCGTCTTGCATGTTCAAGCTGCATCTGTCAAGGCTATGCGAATTTGGCATGCGGTTTAAGGTGCTAAAAAAATGCAATGAATTGAGCTAAACAGTTGAGAGGTCTGGTGCTCTAAATGTAGGTGAACATAGTTTACAATCATATATTTTGAAGTTTCTTCTCTTCTTTTATGTGGTCGGTGTACAATTTGAGGTCTCTAATAGCCTGTTTTATGTAGAAACAGACTTTGATGTTGAAGAAGGCAAGTCTATATCGTCTCCTTTCTAGAATTGAAGCCGCCGCTTGGCTGAAACCCAGTTTTTAAACCAATTTCGCGGCAGTGTTGACCGATGAACACTCACTCCATTAGTCATGTTCAAGTTGTCGTTCCACTCAGACAAAATCAAGAAAGAATTTTTTGTTAGTCGATAACAAGTCCCGTCTCTTCAAACAAACATAGAATCTGGTCATTGCGGTGCTTTGAAATTTCTTCCAGCTTCCACTGTTGAATTTGATAGAGTTTATGTCTGAATAAGTGATGAGTTTTGTAGGTTTAACTTGTCCTTGGCTTCTCTGTTCATTTCCTAATTGGCAGCATTCCTCTCTGTAATTTCATGTCCATAAGACCTTGGCTTGAATTCTGCAGATCCCACACTGCTAACAAACAATGACTTCAATATTTTGTATATCAGGAAGCTCATTAAGCTAAGTTGTCATCATATTTTCAGGAATTAATACGACAAACATGTCACTTAGTACTAGTGGTATTCTTCTTTATTTGTATGGCTCACTGACCTTTTTAATAGGATTTTGAAAACGAAGAAGATGCCAAATGAGTGGCGAACGAGCACTTTGGTGCCTATCTACAAGAATAAGGGCGACGTACAAAATTGCATGAACTATAGGGGTATTAAGCTAATGAGTCATACAATGAAGCTTTGGGAGAGAGTCACTGAGCATAGATTGAGGCAAGAGACACGGGTTTCGGACAACCAATTCGGGTTCATGCCAGGGCGCTCAACCATGGAGGCAATCTATCTCTTACGAAGATTGATGGAAAGATATAGAGATGGGAAAAAGGATTTACACATGGTCTTTATAGATTTGGAAAAAGCGTATGATAGGGTCCCAAGAGACATTCTTTGGAGGATTTTAGAGAAGAAAGGAGTACGAGTAGCATATATCCAAGCTATAAAGGATATGTATGAAGGAGCAAAGACTGCCGTAAGAACTCATGAAGGACAAACCGAAAGCTTTCCCATAACTGTAGGATTACATCAAGGCTCATCCTTAAGTCCTTACCTTTTTGCGTTGGTAATGGATGAGTTAACAGGACATATTCAAGATGATATTCCTTGGTGTATGCTTTTCGCAGACGATATAGTGTTGATAGATGAAACTCAGGAAGGGGTAAATGCAAAGCTTAACCTTTGGAGAGAAGTGTTGGAATCTAAAGGTCTTCGCCTAAGCCGATCAAAGACAGAATATATGGAGTGCAAGTTCAGTGCAAATGGAGGCCAAAACGAGTTAGGGGTGAGGATCGGAGATCAAGAAATACCAAAGAGCGACCGTTTTCGTTACCTAGGATCTATCTTGCAAAAGAACGGAGAATTAGATGGAGATCTCAACCATAGAATACAAGCTGGATGGATGAAGTGGAAGAGTGCATCCGGCGTGTTGTGTGACCGCCGTATGCCACTGAAGCTCAAGGGAAAATTTTATAGGACGGCAATAAGGCCGGCGATGCTGTATGGCACAGAATGTTGGGCGGTGAAACATCAACACGTACACAAAATGGGTGTAGCGGAGATGAGGATGCTTCGTTGGATGTGTGGGCACACGAGAAAGGATAAGATTAGGAATGAGGATATCCGGGGTAAAGTAGGAGTAGCCGAAATTGAAGGAAAGATGAGAGAAAATCGGTTACGGTGGTTTGGACATGTGCAAAGAAGGCCTACTGACGCTCCGATTAGAAGATGCGACTATGGGACAGAGGTTCAGGGCCGAAGGGGTAGAGGAAGACCTAGGAAAACTTTGGAAGAGACTCTAAGAAAAGACTTAGAGTACTTGGATCTAACGAAGGACATGACACAGGATCGAGCACAATGGCGTTCTAAGATTCATATAGCCGATCCCACTCAGTGACTTGGATTTTCCAAGTCTCCAACCGAGAAGTTTTCCTCACTCGGGAAATTAAGGGAACACTACCCCAACCTACATGCTCCACTCAGAAAGCTTCAACATACAAGCTTCAACAAAAGAAAATTCAAAGAACTTAGCGAAGAAGGCTTTGGTGTATTTAACACAATACGTTGAAATGAAGGAAAGCTTATTTATTGATATCCCCGATAAGCTACAAATATGTACATATACATGAGTCAAAATAAACACACAAGAGGGAGCCTTCACAAAGGTTGCTTAGGAGAAGTCTCAGCAGTCGGTAGAGCCCCAGAAAGAGAAGGCACCGGAGGGGGATCATTTGGAGCCTCAGTACTGGACAGAACCCTAGAAGGAGGAGGCATCAGAGGTTGATCATTTGGAGCTTCATTACGCGGTACAGCCCCAGAAGACGAAGGCAATAAATGCCTTTGGAACAAACCCACAAATCTCTGATGATCAAGTAAAACCTGACCATCAGTTTCCTTCATCTGGTCAAGCTTCCTCTTCATGTTTGTAGCATAGTCATGTGCGAGCCGGTGCAACTGTTTATTCTCATGCTTGAGCCCTCTAATCTCCTGTTTGAGACTCATCACTTCAGCCGCCAATGATTCAACTTGGCGGGTTCGAGCAAATAGGCGTTGGGCCATATTAGACACAGAACCTGCACACTGAACACTGAGAGCCAGCGAATCCTTAACAGCTAACTCATCAGACCGTTTGGAAAGTAGTCTGTTATCTTTGGGAGTGAGAAGGTTCCTGGCCACCACCGCAGCGGTCATATCATTCTTCATCACGGAATCCCCAACGGTAAGAGGACCAGTAGGGGAGACGAAGGATGGGCGCCATATGTTGTCTGGAGAAGGCGGGGCTGCCTCTTCAACAAGGTTCAAGTCAAAACGACGGTCGGAGGGGCCAGACATTTTCAAAGGTGTTGAAGAGAGAAGAGGTCGGACAAATCAAGATCTTAGAAGTGCAAGAATGAAGCTTCTACTGGTGGAGATTCAAGTGTGCTTTGGAACTTAATGCCAGCCCCTATAAAAATCTGCACTCGACGGAGCTTCAGAAATCGAAGAGGCGCCTGCTCAGAAATCGAAGAGGCGTTTGCTTTTCTCAAAAGCTGGGCTGCTTAGAGATCACGAGGGTTGATCTCAGAAATCGAAGAGGCGTTTGCTTTTCTCAAAAGTTGGGCTGCTCAAAGACCACGAAGGCCGATCTCAGAAATCGAAGAGGCGCTCGCTTTCTCAAAAGCTGGGCTCCCCAGAGACCACGAGGGCCGATCTCAGAAATCGAAGAGGCACCTACTTTTCCAGCCTTGTCAGCACCTGTCACACGCACACTCAGCTTTGCGGAAATTATGGGCATTCTGTCGAAGACTTCTGGGGAAGTAGAAAACACATGAATCTTACTGTTCAATCACCCACTTCCCACACGCAACAATAGCTCATGGGTACCACAGATAACTTTGCCAAAGTTCTCTGCCAAAGTTGAGCACGTGAAGCTTGCAGCTCCCACTACATCGCTCTGACCAAGAAGGGTAAAAGAATAGCAAAGAAACAGCACTAACAAAGTTTAGACCCATAAATTTTGAAGGTCTAGCTACCATATTATTACCCACAAGGGTAAAGGAACAGTACCACTGCTGGATAATTGGAAAGTCCCTGTGTGTCAACCTCTGTGCTTCGTGGCAAGGTAGACTAGCAAACATGCCCAACCTTTACTCACATTCGAGAAAACACTCCCAATAAGATTGCTTGCTCCAAAATCGAAGAGGCACCGTCCTCCGAATCTCGAGAGCCAGACTCCCAACATGACTACTTTCTTAAAAATCGAAGAGAGGGTAAAGGAACAGTACCATTGCTGGATAATTGGAAAGTCCCTGTGTGTCAACCTCTGTGCTTCGTGGCAAGGTAGACTAGCAAACATGCCCAACCTTTACTCACATTCGAGAAAACACTCCCAACAAGATTGCTTGCTCCAAAATCGAAGAGGCACCGCCCTCCGAATCTCGAGAGCCAGACTCCCAACATGATTACTTTCTCAAAAATCGAAGAGACACTGCTCCCCGAATCTTCGAGAGCCAGACCCCCAGCATGATTGCTTTCTCAAAAATCGATGAGGCATCGTTCTCCGAATCAATCGAAGAGGCGCTCGCTTTCTCAAAAGCTGGGCTGCTCAGAGACCACGAGGGCCGATCTCAGAAATCGAAGAGGCACCTACTTTTCTAGCCTTGTCAGCACCTGTCACACGCACACTCAGCTTTGCAGAAATTATGGGCATTCTGTCGAAGACTTCTGGTGAAGTAGAAAGCACATGAATCTTACTGTTCAATCACCCACTTCCCACACGCAACAATAGCTCATGGGTACCACAGATAACTTTGCCAAAGTTCTCTGCCAAAGTTGAGCACGTGAAGCTTGCAGCTCCCACTACATCGCTCTGACCAAGAAAGGTAAAAGAATAGCAAAGAAACAGCACTAACAAAGTTTAGACACATAAATTTTGAAGGTCTAGCTACCATATTATTACCCACAAGGGTAAAGGAACAGTACCACTGCTGGATAATTGGAAAGTCCCTGTGTGTCAACCTCTGTGCTTCGTGGCAAGGTAGACTAGCAAACATGCCCAACCTTTACTCACATTCGAGAAAACACTCCCAACAAGATTGCTTGCTCCAAAATCGAAGAGGCACCGTCCTCCGAATCTCGAGAGCCAGACTCCCAACATGACTACTTTCTCAAAATCGAAGAGAGGGTAAAGGAACAGTACCATTGCTGGATAATTGGAAAGTCCCTGTGTGTCAACCTTTGTGCTTCGTGGCAAGGTAGACTAGCAAACATGCCCAACCTTTACTCACATTCGAGACAACACTCCCAACAAGATTGCTTGCTCCAAAATCGAAGAGGCACCGCCCTCCGAATCTCGAGAGCCAGACTCCCAACATGATTACTTCCTCAAAAATCGAAGAGACACTGCTCTCCGAATCTCGAGAGCCAGACCCCCAGCATGATTGCTTTCTCAAAAATCGAAGAGGCATCGTTCTCCGAATCTCGAGAGCCAGATACCACAGACCACTTTTTCAAAGTGCTCTGACAGAGTTAAAACATGTGAAACTGGCAGCTCCCACTACCGTGCTATGACCAAGCAGGGTAAAGGAATAGCATTACTACTTGTTGTTAGGGAGACTCCTATATATGTCGACCTCCATCCCCAACGGACAGGCAGACCTGCAAAAAATGCTCAACCCTTCATCATATCTGAGAGAGGGCACTCCCAACGAAGCCTTTCGAAATATTCAGCTTTCTTTCCCCCCGATAATACCTCTGCAAACAAGCTATACTAGAGCAAGAATATCTCATATCATCAGGGTTAAAAGCAAGAGTATCCCATATCATGCTTTTTCCCTGTCTTTTCCTTTGGCCTTGTTTTTACCTGCAAGACAAGGAGAAAGAGAGCAATCAGTCAGCACTTGGAATCAAGCTTCCAGCCAGGAACTGACTGCCTGGAACCCCTTACCTGATTACTTACCTGGCATTGCTCTCGAGTACTCATCTTCAACATCTTATGTTTCCAGGGAAGATTCCGCATCTGCTTGAGGAACAGATAGGGCAAGTGCGAAGGATACAAGGAAGCATGTGGAGACAAGCGTAACAGCACACGTGCCGATACATCCATTACTCTGTCAAAAGCAAAAGTATCCCATATCAGCAGGGTGGAACGTACTCTAGATTTGATGGACTTGTTTTGACCCTCAAATTCTTCAGTCGGCCTTATACTCTGGAGGAAACCAGAAAACCCTCCAGCTCAGTTCAAGAATAAGCCTGTGGAAAGTTACTTCTTCAAAAGCAAAAGTATCTCATATCATCTCTTCTCATTTTTCTTCTCTTTATCCTTCATGCTGCTGCAAGATGGGGAGAAGGTGAACAATCAGTCGGAGCTCTGATTGCTTACCTTGTCTGTCACCTCTTTCAGCAGACCCCCTAGCTCGGCGACTTGGGGGACTCCTACTACATGGTTTGTATCGCGCTTGACCAAGCCTGAAACTACAAGTAAGCTTCAAGTGAAATTGATACATTACCTTGTGCATCTCCACCAGTTAAAGATACCACCCCTGGATGGAGGAAGAGTACTTCCAGAGAAGATGCCACATCTACCTATGAGACAGATAAGGCAAGTCAAGACGACACCACACTCCGATACTTAGAAGTTTCGTGATTACGAGATCATTCTCCCACAATATTTCCTAATGTCATTTGTACTAAATCATTCACTTGTACTCACTAAAGGAGAGCTTGAACCTATGTACTTGTGTAAACCCTTCACAATTAATGAGAACTCTTCTATTCCGTGGACGTAGCCAATCTGGGTGAACCACGTACATCTTGTGTTTGCTTTCCTATCTCTATCCATTTATATACTTATCCACACTAATGACCGGAGCAATCTAGCGAAGATCACAAAAAGCGACCGTTTTCGCTACCTAGGATCTATCTTGCAAGAGAACGGAGAATTAGATGGAGATCTCAACCATAGAATACGAGCTGGATGGATGAAGTGTAGAGTGCATCCGGCGTGTTGTGTGACCGTCGTAGGCCACTGAAGCTCAAGGGAAAATTTTATAGGACGGCAATAAGGCCAGCGATGTTGTATGGCACAGAATGTTGGGCGGTGAAGCATCAACACGTACACAAAATGGGTGTAGCGGAGATGAGGATGCTTCGTGGGATGTGTGGGCACACGAGAAAGGATAAGATTGGGAATGAGGATATCCGAGGTAAAGTAGGAGTAGCCGAAATTGTAGGAAAGATGAGAGAAAATCGGCTCCGGTGATTTGGACATGTGCAAAGAAGGCCGACTGACGCTCCGGTTCGAAGATGTGACTACGGGACAGAGGTTCAGGGCCGAAGGGGTAGAGGAAGACCTAGGAAAACTTTGGAAGAGACTCTAAGAAAAGACTTAGAGTACTTGGATCTAACGGAGGACATGACACAAAACCGAGCGCAATGGCGTTCTAGGATTCATATAGCCGACCCCACTTAGTGGGAAAAGGCTTTGTTGTTGTTGTTGTTGTATTGCTAGTTCATTGTGAGACTAAGTTCACATCTCCCCTTTAGTGAGATAATATTGTTTGTTCAAAAAAAAAAAAAAAATTCCAATAGACATAAAAAATTAAATAAAAATCTCAAATATTTAGACAGCAACTACAATGTGGGAGATGAGAAATCATAGGGATTTAAATTAAGAGGAATGACTGGTGAAACAATGAAGGGCATAAAGAGAAATGGTAGTGCGAAAATCATTTTATTTTCCTTTTATTTTCAGTGAAATATGTGCAACTATTTCAAAATTTTCAATGTTCCTTACTTCCTTTCCATCAATATTAAAGATTGCGAGATGATTATTTTAGAGTGCTGATAATGATTCTCCTGTAACAATGTCGTACCAATAGAAGTTGGAGTTTCGTTCATAAAAGTTGAGCAGTGGTCCAGTACTGTACTTCAGATTTTGGTGCTGATGTACTTAGTTTGGAATCTGAACCACTCCAGTTATGTTTCATACACACCAAATTCCAATCCTATAAAAACAGCAGAGGAAGCAGAACAGAACTTACTAATTTTTGAACTGAGTCACAATTTGGTGACCTACAAATTAGAATAATATTAATCTCTTACACCTCTCCATATTGTACAACAACAATAAGGCCATATATTTCTCCTGATTTATTATGATTGGAGCAGAGACCTCATGAATCAACTAAATACCTCAGTGTTCTTTGTTAGTGCACTCAATTGAATTCTCAGAGACACAGAGGAATCCTTCGATGATCATCCGGCGAGCTAGCACAGCGAACAATGTCGAGGAAAAGGCTCTCATCACACGGGATGTAGAGCTTCGAATCAGCATTGTAATCGTATTCTTCTTGAGCTTGATCGAGCACTGCCTTGAAGAGAGGGTGGTTAAGCAAGGTGATTTTGATCACAAACCTCTTGTGATTTTCACCTACGTAGATTACTAAGTGACCCTTTGGGACATCTTTTGGGATGGAGTTTTCTTCTTGCATGGAAGGCCAGAGAGGCCATTGGCAGCAGTTTTCACAGCACGTGGAAGAAGGTATGCTCCCTCCACTCCCTATCTTCCTCCACTTGTTTGCACACACCCTTACAAACTTTCCCTTCATCATTTTTTTTTCTTTAGCTAAGTATACCCACAGAGAGAGATGAAATAGGTGAGGTGGTAGTGGTTAGTACAAAGATGAAAGGTATATATAGATGTGGGAGAGGAAGCTGAGATGTGATAATTGTGATCATCATGGGGCAACTTCTAAGAGATGGTGTTCTTTTCCTTTCAGATTTGCATATTTGCTATCACCGGTTAGATCTGTTATTAGCATTTTAAAAAATTATTCTGCAATCTTTCTTATTGCTTGTAGAAAAGAACAAAAGTATACAAAATGACTATTTTGAAGTGCTAATACCATATCATGATAATATGTCAATATTTATTAAGTTATCTAAGCATGTTATAGATTATTGATAACCAATAAGTTATATTGACTTATTATCAACACGTTATGTAACGGTATATAAATGCTTTGCAGTACCATGCTGTAACCCAAACTTTATAGTAATGCCTCTTGATAGGAAATTCTACGAACATGCATGTCATCTCAAAGATTATAATCTATAAAACATGGCACATTTGGCGGCAGGCTTTTTCCCCCTTCTGTTTTTCACAATAAATCATGGTGCTTGATGAGTGATTTTTGAAGTTCTCGAAGTTAAGACCCCACAAGTTGGGAGAGGAAAAGATAACATGTGAGATTAGGATGGGACTGGCAAAGTGTGCGATCCCACTTGCTTGTTCTCCAATTATTTTTGCTCAATTTAATATATAAATCTGCCGGAAAAAAAAAAATTCTGCACCATGATATATGCAAGGTTCTAAACATTGCTAAACGCTAGTCAGACGGCGGGTAAGGGTCTAATGCCTAGGTAAATTTATGTAAATTTATTATATATATTGTAAATAAGTGCCTATTTACATCTAAAAAAAACTATCCTTGTATGGATAATAAAAGAATGATAAAATGCAAAAATAGAAGTAGAAGAATACACAAATTATATACATAAAAAAAGTTCAATATTTAAAAAACAGTAAGTATATAATCATAATGAGGATGATTTGAATGATAGACTAAATTTTTCTTCTTCATGATCTTTCCATTGGATTGGACATAGACTAAATTATTTAACCTTGTTGTATCTAGTTTATTTCTTTTCTTTGTATGTATCCCCTCAAAAGTGCTCCAATTCGTTTCACTATTGGATGAACTTGTAGTAAATCCATCATTTGCAAATTAGGTACACCATTTCCATAAGTATACAATCATGAAACCAAAAAAGAAAAAAACACACAATTAATAAAAAATATAAAAATATTAAAAGAAAACCGTCTAGGACCGCCTAGCTCCAGATCGATTTTTCGAAACAATTTGCCCAAAATCAGGGCGGGCCTTCACCGCTTAGTGCCTAGGTGGCCGTCTAGGTTGATTTTTAGAACATTGGTCATATGTAATTCTTCATAAACAATGGATTAAATTGTGAGAATTTTCTATGGTGTTTCAGCGTACTAGAATTTCTTATATTTTGGAGTTTAAATTATTAAAATTTTGATCAAAGATACAATAATTAATATTCCATGGTTAAAGATCTGGACTATAAGATACTCTAAAACTCCATCGAATTTTTGTCTTTCTTTTTTTTTCTTTTTAAAATATATTTATTTCTCCACTAATAACTAGTGACATAAAAGATTTGATCAATAATGTGATTATTCACTAGACATTTGAAAATTAACAAATGACGTCTAGATCTGTTTAGGCATCCGTCTAACTCGCCTAGACACCAGCCCGCCTACGTCACGACTCTTAGTTCGAAAAAAATAAAAAACTTTCATTTTACATTTTATTTTTTCAATGAATTGTAAGAAACTTGTTGAATACTTGGATTAACACTAATTATATGTTTGTTTCCCATATTTTCAATGTATTTTAATACTTTATAATCTATGTATTTTATTTTACAATTTATGTATCTCAATATAATTATGTATTTCTAAAGGATAAGTATACATTTATTTATATGTTATATAACAAATTTAATTAAAGTTAAAAAATTACCTAGATGCCTAGACACTAGGCTCCTGCTCGCCGCCCGCGGCCCGCTGCCTGACTAGCACCTAACGTCTTTTAGAACGTTGTGTGGTCAACAACATTTTGTTGCTTTTTTGAATCGAACACTTAAATTAAGTTGTATATATAATGTTATAGCATGCATGCATGTACTATCCGTACAACGTTGTTGCTCTGCAGTCTTAAAACCGTTAGCCTGCAGTTTAGATTTGGATAAGTTTTTGCGAATCTCTGCAATATCTGACCTTATAAGCATTCAGGAGAAGAGATGGGCTATATGAGTAAGAGAGTACCAAAGGGGATGGATGGATGTATCCTGCCGGGTTTGCAGAGCATAAGATGGGAGTCACATTTTTAGTCTTATATGGAGAGAGACTAGTTCTCGATTCTTTCAACATTCTCCATTTGCTCACCAACCAAAAGGATCAATTTTAAGGTTTCTCTCTTCCGAAATCATGCATAGATAAATTATACATAAGGACACGATTTAACCTAAATTGTAAAGCATATTACCTTACCATACTATGAATATATAAATCATTACACTAATTAATTCTTTGCCAAAATACAACATTCATATTTGTCACAACATAAGCATTGTTTTCTGATAATAATATTAGTTTGGCAAAGACTATCAATGTAGAATAAATGACTGAAGGGATCGGAAAAACAATTGAAACCATGAACCACCATTTCGAATAGAACAGCAAGGTGAAGAAGACTCTGTGCCGACGTATGGGAATTTTTTGTCGATTCCTTCATAATTTACTATCCCAAAAGGGATTATAAGACTTTAGGACCTTTATGGTATGTTTTTTTTTAAATTTATTTATTAATTGTATACAAGCAACCTCTAGGTTGGTGGGGCCGTCTCTTTTCGATTAATAAACTTATCTCAAAATTGGGTAGATTTCAAATTGTTAGTTGATTCTAGTTTAGGATATGTCGTTAAGTTTTTCTATTACTTTATCACACCGCGTCAGCTATTATCTATTCTTGATTTGACAACATTAGCATTTCCTTTTTAGAAAAACACGATATTTATTGAAATAAGGGAAATATGTACATTAATATGGAATGGGGTGCACTATGGACCCCGAGAAAGCTTTGTCTGAAATTTCAATATGTACAAAAAGAAAAGAGTGTCCCGCACAATTAACAACATAACCATCCTCCAAACAATACAATCATCACAAATTAATCAAGAAACATCCTCAATTAAAGCATATTCTAACGAGTTTAGTAATTAGCCAAGCATTTTCTAGGTATATCCACATATCATCTATGGCTCGACCTAGTTATTATTGCGGAGTACATACAACTGTACAAGCATCTTAAGGCGTTTAGAAGTGTTTTTAAAATAAAAGGGTGTTTTTAAGGAAAATAATTTTGGGTTCTAAAAGCACTTGAAGTGCTTTCAGCAAGAAACACTAGTTAAGTGTTTTTCGAGGATTTACTTGCATTTTTACTAAAAATTAGTTTCAAAAATACTTTCACCAAAAACCTTTTAGTTATTTTAAAAGCACTTCAAAATAAACTCTTAGATAAGATAGACCTCTTTGAATCAATCCATATTTAAAATAAAACTTGAAAATGCAAGCAATTGTGGAATGGTGCAGCTTTGTGCATGGTGGGTTCTGTGGTTGTGATTCTGAGTGGGTTCAGATGTTTGAATTTTGAAGTTGATTTGCTGAGAGATGAGTGAGTGTCAGCACACTGATTCATCCTCCCTAGAGACAAACTTGGCTGTGCTAGGTTGGTTGAAAGAAAGAGTTCCTCTTTCCGACAATTTATCAATTTGACTCAAACTGGCAACACTATTTCTACAGACATGGAGACGGACTGAAAGAGGAGTTAGTATCCTTGAACTATTCCTCCTGTCAAATCTCATTCAACATTTTCATAAACTCTTCATATCCAGCTATAACTTTTTCCTCTCCGATTTCTTAATCTAAAGAAAAGAAGAAATAATAAATCAACTTCCATTTGTTCAAGACTTTGAAACTATATATGTTTAGAAGCTTTAGTTAAAGCAAGTTAAGATAAATTATTAACTAAACTCTTTGTTCATTGCTACTTCTCTTCTCAATACCAAAAGATATGGGTCGGCCGAGATTAGAGAGCAGACCCGAGAGCATTCCTCTCCCACAAATGGTTGAGAATATCTCGTTGACCGGTCTCACGTAAACTAGTCTCTTATACAAGGTTGATCTCATTTAAAAAATAGAGAATTAAAAAAGATAGTCCATAACTATCTATATATAATCATATGGAATGTTAACTTTCACTTTGTTGGAGTAAAGTTCAAATATCATGGACAAACTTCTTGTATTGAAAAATCAAAACAAACATCACATAATGATGCATATATCATATCATGTATATATAGAAATTGAAGCATGCATGCATGCATGAAGATGGTGGGATCTTATGAGTTGGGTCGTAGACAAAGGTGATAGGGTGGGGGAACTTAACAAAATGATGTATGTAGTGCACATGAGGTTGGGCAAAAGAAGGCTAGCCTCTCAAGGGTGGGTGAGACGCTGAGAACCGAAGGATCAAGAGACAGATATTTCCGATCAGAAGTCATATATCATATGCGCATTGCGATGGTTTTTTACGGTGCCTCGGAGGAATATGAGATATTTTGAATATTTTAACTATTAAAATTTTGTTTAAAAATACAAAAATTAAAATTTAACAATTAATATATCAATATCCTGTAATTCGGAGCATCATAACATTTTTTATTCATTGCAGCCCACAAGCAATATTTTTTTGCATAGAAATGATTTAGTTGGCCTTTCTATCTCTCGATCTCTGAGGCTCAGCTCCCCCATGCACGTGTATTCGTCAGCTCTTCTTAGCTGTCACCCTGGCACTTCATTTTCCAAGTTCCACCTTCAACCATCTCCCATAACTTCCCATTAATTCCTTCCCATGCTTCCTCTTCGGAAGCAATTCTTCTGTTTCCTTCTTCTTTTACCCATTTCATAAGTAAAT